AACGGTATACTTTGTGGATTATCGTATTTCTACACTTTTTTATTCCACTCATTTCCTAAAATTTCCTACAAACAAACCCAAAGCCCCAATCTTTGCAAATAAGTAGGTCACAGCCAGATGTGGTTGTACTTCTCATTCTTCATCGCCTGGTCAATGTTTCTAATTTCATAGAAACACTGAAATATATCTCAGAACTTGGGGGTTTAGGGTGGAAAGTAAAACATACCCCCAAACCAAAATAACTTAAGTGAAAATTTTCTAAAATTATCACAGTTACACCACAAGGATGCAGGTGCAAACATAGTTGAGCTAAAAATGAAGTAACTGGCTAAGAGAAAAAAATGAAACAAAATTCCTGTGATTCATTCAAATGACAGAAATCAAAACAGATTCTCCCTTTTAACACTTTTTGCGCCTGGCATTTTCTTCTATATACTTTATTATTATTTTAATGTTTATTTTTGGGGGGGGACATGAGCAGGGGAGAGGGGGAATAGAGGGGGAGAGAAGGGGAGAGACGGAGAATCAAAAGCAGGTTCTGCGCTGTCAGTGCAAAGCCTGATGTGGGGCTCCAACTCGTGATCCATGAGATCATGACCTGAGTCAAGTACAACACTCAACTAACTAAGCCACTCAGGCACCCCTCCTTTTTATATATTTTAATGACCAAAACCTTCTTTTAAAAGTTCACCATGCATTGTCAACAGGAAGAAAATGCTTACTTTAGGTCACTATCCATTCAACAAATATTTATGGAGTACCACCTCTAAGCTAGTGAGTTGTTAGCCCCTGAACACTTTTTGATAGTGGACAGAGACAGCATGGTAAAGGGAACATGACTGATGACTAGGTGAACCTAGGTCACACTCCTGTCTTGGTCAAGTACCCGGTCTGGTTGGAGGGTTTAGGCTGGTGAATGTGGCGAACAAGGCTCTGCTCTCACGCGAGCCAGTCTCTAGAAGGAGGGAAATATTAGCAGCAAACATCAGTATCATCATCAATACTATCATTATCGTTACTATCATTACTATGTGCCCTTACCTGTCTCACCACTTCTTCCTCCTTAATGACTGCTAAGTATCTGGCACTCTGCTAAGCACTTGCTGCGTTCAATCTTCACAACAATTTAGCATGGTATTGCCGGCATTTTCATTCATTTCGTAAGGTCTACATCCAATGGGGGTTGAACTCACGACCCTGAGATCAAGAGTTGCGGGGCGCCTGGGTGGCTTAGTTGGTTGGGCGTCCGACTTTCGCATGGGTCATGATCTCGCGGTTCGTGGGTTTGAGCCCCGCGTCGGGCTCTGTGCTGACTGCCAGCTCGGAGTCTGGAGCCTGTTTCACAGTCTGTGTCTCCCTCTCTCTCTGACCCTCCCCTGCTCACGCTGTCTCTCTCTCTCTCTCTCGAAATAAATAAAAAAAAAAAAAAAAAAAAAGTTTAAAAAAAAAAGAGTTGCATGTGTGCTCTACTGATGAAGCCAGCCAGGCACCCCTGTATGGCCAACATCTCACAAATGAGGAGACTGAGGCCCTAAACGGATAAAAGTAACACAGACAGTAAGTAGGTGGAGGTCAGGTTTTAAACACTATGCTATACTGCCTCTATACACACAAATTCCCTATGATGTTACAGGAATTTCAACAGGGGGAAAATCTTTCACAACAAGAAATGAGACACAACATACTATCAAGTAAATGTGTTTCATTTAAGTTTCTTTTAAAAACTGTTATTTAGTCCTGTATGGACTTTTTTTTCCATCCTGTTAGAAAAGTCTGGAAAATATTCTTATTAGTGAAATAGAAAGCATTTTTTTTAAAAACTAGAAGACATTTTTAAGGTGTATGAGAAAGCGTATTTCACTTCTAATACACCACAAACTATGAAGGGAAGTAGTCAAGACAGTTCAATTAGCCACAAATAGGTATTTTCATTGCTGTATTTATTCTTCAGTGGCTATATTATTTTTTCCTGATTATAAAAGCAAATGCTACATGAGAAAAATATTTTTTTTAAAAAAACACCCACAATCTTACTACCTAGAGATAACAAATTCCAATTATTTGGGAATTTCCTTTCAGATACTTTCTTTTAGGTTTCTATACACAGAGCTTTTGTCCACCTTAAGAAATCATGTATCATAACAAAAAAAAAAAATCACACATAATACATAGTCTCATGCTACCGTTTTTCCTAAACATCATTCCATGTCAATGAATACCGGATTATATCATCTTTTTTCTCTAAAGATTTTATTTTTAAGTAATCTCTACCCACAACGTGGGGCTCAAACTCACCCCAAGATGCTCTAACTGACTGAGCCAGCCAGATGCCCCCCTGCATCACCCCTTTTAAAGACTGCACAGTACTTCACTGCATGGGTAGGTCCTGATAGACTTAATCAGTCCTTTCATAAGCATTTGGATTACTCTCTATGTTTTGCTATTATTTTTTTAAATTTGTTTTAATGTTTATTATTTGAGAGAGAGAGAGGGAGGGCAAGCACCAGTGAGCACAAACAGGGAGGGACAGAGAGAAGGGGAGACACAAAATCTGAAGCAGGTTGAGCTGTCAGCACAGAACCCGACACGGGGCTCGAACCCATGAACCGAGAAATCATCACCTGGGCCGAAGTCAGATGCATAACCTGCTGAGCCACCCCGGCACCCCCTGTGTTTTGCTACTATTAAAAAATGGGGCAATGAGCAGTTTGGTACACACACCTGTATACATTTGACCAACGGTTTAAGATAAATTTCTAGATGTTGACTTGCCATTTTATTTTATGACTCTGAATGCATATTGCCCAAACTGTCATCTAGAAAATAAATACCAAATTTGCCTTTTTAAAAAAAGGAAATCTTTGGGCATCTAGGTGGTTTAGTCGGTTAAGCATCTAACTTCAGCTCAGGTCATGATCTCACAGTTGGTGAGTTTGAGCCCCGCGTCAGCCTCTGTGCTGACAGCTCAGAGCCTGAAACCTACTTTAGATTCTGTGTCTCCGTCTCTCCCTGCCTCTTACCCCACCGGCTTGCATTCTGTCTCTCCCTCAAAAATAAACATTTTTTGAAAATTAAAAAAAGGAAACTCTTAAATTTTAAGAGTAATAACATATTTTACTGCTATCTAGATTAAATGGCAAAATATTTTAAGAGCTACATCTTTTCTCTACATATCTGTGATGCATAACTGTAATATTACATTAGGTTTACATTTGGAGGGGGGGAATTCTAAATTTCCCAATAACTTCTGGTGGTTTTATTTTCAGCATGCTGTTGTTGTTTTAAGAAGTTAAACTCCAAAAAAAACATACTTGGGGCAAACCAAGCAAATTAGTAGAGAATGTTAAAAGGCAGAAAGGGAGGCAAACTATAAAATAAATCAGTTACAGCAATGACCAGGTCACCAAATCTACATCCCATGCAATGACCAGGAGAGAAGGGTCAAGAGAGAGAAAAGGGGAACCTAAAGGCAGTAGCCCTCAGAGCTGCAGCGATGGCAGGATGAAATTACACACAGACATATATGTCTACGTGCTCTGTACACATCAATCCTGGAGCTCCTCTCTAGGGGTTAGAGCACAAGAGGAAACTTTGTGTGCTTTAGTTAACCAAACATCATACAGAAAGGAGGTGGGGGAGTCCCAACAGAGATTTCCTTAAGGTAAGAGCGTCTAGTTAGCAGTTTGATGGCCTAGTATTAGTTACATCTGTCAGGACAAGAGGACAACAGACCTGAAGCAAACGACAGCTCCTTAGGCACTGATTCATTTCAAAGCCAACACACAGGACAGGGGTCAAATATCAGGCCCTATGGAAAGCTGGGCAAGGTGAGAAAATTTTTAGCAATAAATAAAATTTACCCATGATATAGTAATACAGTGCTAAGAAGGGAAAGCCACACAGTGCAACTGAAAACAACTAACCTGATGGAATTTTAATCCTGATAGAGGGAGACAGGGGCCTTAGATAATTCTGCCATAGCAAAAGCATGGAATACTTACAGCAAGACAATGTGTGCAGGGCTGGGGGTGGGGGTCAAGGAGGTAGCCTCATGATGCCACAAACCTATAGGACTAAGAAGTCTAACATTCTTCTAGGCAAGGTCTATGACCTATGGGTCAAATCTACCTGCTGTCTGTATACACCACAAGCCCATAATGGCTTTTACGTTTTTAAATGATTGAAGAAAATAAAAATGTATTTCATGGCGCATAAAAATTAGATGAAATTTCAGTGTCAGTGTCCATAAACTTTCGGTTGAACACAGCGGTGGCCATTGCCGAGGTCTCTGCTTTCTAGATACATTGATAGACTTGAGCAGACAGAGAGGATGGGGGTAGGAGAGGTGGGTGACAAACTGGAAAATTTTACTATCCTGTCTTCTGTAGAAAGTTTGCTGACCTCTACTCTAGGCCATGTCGGTTTTGAACAGATCACAGCTCCAAGCCTGCGCATGCTTGTTGGTTTGAGCCCTGAAATACCCAGGATTTAGACATAACCTGCCGGCCTAGCAGAGAATGCGACCCCACTCTTAAGAACAGTCTAACAGGTCCTATAGATGCAGGGGCACCTGTCCATGGTAATCACAAAGATTTGAAAGGCTTTTAGGGGTTGGAATTAGATTGGCCCCTAAAGGTTTACATAGGGATATTTTGAAAAAAACATACTAGCTTTTCCTTTGAAAGAATGAAATCATCCACAAGATGGCTAGGACCTTTAAGATTTATACTAGGTGCCTAGGGCTGAGCAAAGCCTTTTGCTTTTATTATCTCATTTAATGGTTAACCACCTCCTGACTCAAAGAGGCTGGATGGCTCTAGCTGAACATACCAGAAAGCTTAGGAAATGGGAGTCAAACTCCGTCAAAGCTTGTGTCCGTACCACTACCCTCGCTTGAAAGCAACCGGCTCACCACGAATAAATGAAAGGAAAAGGCCACAGAAACAGTGGAAGCAAGTACGTTCTTATAGCTCTGAGCATTCTAAGTATTTTAATCGTACCTGTCTTCTAATATAATTCAGTTCTTCCAGACTCCTTTCCTTGTTCAGAAAGGTCAATGCAGGTAGCCAGTTGTGGAGCCATTTTAAAGGTGCCAGAATTAGACAGCCAAAGTTATAGGTGTAACGTCCACTCATGGAGTCCCCGGAGTACCTATGAGGGTCCCCACAAGAAGCGGGGGGGGGGGGGGCAAACATTTTCAGAGGCAAGGGACTAGAAAGAACATGTGCAGTTCTTTAGATTTTCCATTTAAATTGAAAGTAAGGGCAAAAGTGAAGTGGAATCTTAGACAAGGAGACAGCAATGATATTGGTGGGCTGCCACTGTTTCTTTCTGCCTGGCACTGTGCCCTCCACTTCACCAACCACCAGCATCCTCCCCTATGTGCCCCCAGACCTCCATAAGATAAGGACCACTTAACCCTAACTCGTTTTTGAAAACCTAGTGGTTTTCATGTTTTTTTAATTTAACTTTTTTATTTATTTCTAAGAGAGAGAGAGAAAGAGAAAGCATGAGCAGGGGAGGGTCAGAGAAAGGGAGACACAGAATCTGAAGCAGTCTCCAGGCTCTGAGCTAGCTGTCAGCACAGAGCCCGACACGGGGCTCAAACCCACGAACCGTGAGATCATGACCTGAGCCGAAGTCGGACGCCCAATCAACTGAGCCACCCAGGCGCCCCTGAAAACCTAGTTTTTAAAAAAATGTTCAATTTGTTAATATTTTCATCATACTTTGAGAAATAATACAGATCATGACCACATACCATGTTTATACATGTTCATTCAGGTGTTCATCAGTTGTTCTCTGTGTCTAGCTTCCAAGTCCTTTGTATGGACCAAATGAGGGGTTCAGAGTCTTTACACAGGAAACGTCACGCCAGCCTCCCTACACCTCTACTGCATAGGCTTTTCCAGATGAGGAACCGGAGGGTCAGGGAGGTCACTTTGCTACATTGAATGAAAGAACCCAGATCCGAACTTAAGTCTGTTTGACTGAGAAACTATTTTTCCCATCATGCTCTGCTGCCTTGCCAAGGCACAAACACATTTTCTCAGAACGATTACCTCCCAGTCACATTTTAGATTTGTTGGACAGCATTAAGAAAGCGGAGCTGAGTGAACTATTTGCTCCAAGGGCTGGTTGTCAAGATCAAGTCTCTGCTTACTGACCATCAATCTACTTGGTCTAAATTTTTAAAAACAGAGACGCCTGGGGGGGCTCAGTCAGTTAAGCATCCAACTCTCGAATTCGGTTCAGGTCACGATCTCACGGTTCATGAGTTGAAGCCCCACAAAGAGCTCTGCACTGACAGTGCTGATAGTGCAGAGCCTGCATGGGGTTCCTCTCTCTTCCTCTCTCTAGTCCATCTGCTACTTACATGTGCACGTGCTCTCTCTCCCACTCTCTCTCAAAAATAAATAAACTTAAAAAAAATAAAAACAGCCACAATGCACAGGACTCGCATGTCAAGCCCTTTATGTGTGTGTATGGTTTATCAACTAATAGGCAATGCTTTGCTGTGGTAACAAAATGGAAGTGTTTTTGTACCTCTAAGACCACTGGGCACAAAGATCTACATCCTTTTTCCTTTTAAGAATTATTCTAACTCCTATTTTATTTAATAAAAACATAGAACTTTAACATTTTGGGGCCCTCGACCTCTTTAATAACACAACCACAGACCTTCTCCCTAGAAAGGCACATGTAACGCAAAGGTTTTGTCACAACTCTAGGGAGTTCTGGAATCTCTTGAAGTCCATTCATGGATCCCTAGAGGTCCAAAGAGCTCACGACAACCCGTGTTCTAAAAACATACTGCAGGGGCGTCTGGGTGGCTTAGCTGGTTAAGAGTCTGACTTCGGCCCAGGTCATGATTTCACGGTTTGTGAGTTCGAGCCCCGCATCGGGTTCTGTGCTGACAGCTCGGAGCCTGGAGCCTGCTTCCAATTCTGTGTGTCCCTCTCTCTCTGGCCCTCCCCTGCTCACGCTCTGTCTGTCGCTCTTTTTCTCTCAAAAATAAATAAACTGAAAAAAATAAAAAAATAAAAAATAAAAACATACTGCAGAAATGCCTACATCATTTCACAGGACCAGGGTAAAGACTTTATAGCCAGCTCTCTCATCATCTTTTATAATTTCAGAAGGCTAATAGTAAATAAACACTCAAACTCCCACAAGTAGACTCCCATATTCTCCAAGAAACTAGCAATCTAATGACTTGAGTAAAATCACCAAATCTAAGGTCATATAAATTCGAAGTCCAAATCGGTTTTGTTAGAGCTTAGAATCTGTTACTTCTTTCTGCCTACAAAGATTTCCTTAAAAAAGAAACAATATGGCCTAGCGCTTGAGTCTTTCCTACTTTAACATTTGTGAACACATTAAGGTATAATTATATGAAAAAAGACTACTAAAATTTACTAAGGCATATCCTTTTACTATACGATATGAAAAGAAAGTCAATTAAGAGAATTCTTAAATGTTCAACACATCGATGTCTGTCAATGTATTTGCAAGTTATATTATGTGGGTGGCAAAGAGACTTTAAACGTTTCATAAAGGCTCAAATTTTGATGTGTTTCAACCACTTGGGTCAAGAACTTTCAGAAATGTTTATTTTTAGGTATATGTCAAACTCTCAAGTCTTTCAAATCTCTCTTGTTCTTACTGCTTTATAAAATTTCTCCCACTGTCCAACATATTTTTTTAAGTTACCAAACAAACTTATAAAAGTGTTCGGCCAGAACTCCACCTGTGAATACCAGATAAAAGGTCTCATGAAAATTTAAGTTACATGGGGGCAGTGATACTCTCCTATCAACAAGACTAAAGATTATTTTAAAATCACTAGATACTGTTTCAAAATCATTATTTGAGAAGATGAAGTAACGAGCAGCTCACAAGGAACATCATTTCACCCCTTGACAATGATCTTTTACACAGTAATGATCCTTACCAAAACGCAGTCAGGATATACAGATAATCAATGGACACTTTCAATTTACAGTGTGTAGTCCTAAGACTTAAAGTAAGTCTTCCTTTGGTTAGAGTATCTTCTCTCCTTCTAATACCAAGAAAATGAACAGGGCCTAATTCAGCCCAGGCACACACAGCGTTTAAGCCACTATTATTTTACCGCCACGGGGGAGGCTTCCCACCCTCACGGAGGTCAAGTTATATACCTCAGCATCTTCACTCAAAGAAATTTTTTTCCCCACTGTGCCAAAAGGCATAGGTGCTAATTCTTGAGAACACTGTTTTAGAGCGTTATTAGAGTTTCGACTTCCTATATGTGAATAAAATTTTACATATACGGATCTCTAGCTAGGGATTAAACCCACTTCACGGCCACATATTTGCATTTACGACTCTTCCTCTTTGGAAGAACTGAAACACAACAGGGAAAATGCACCCAAGTTTCGCAAAGAACCAAAAACAACCAAATCCAACCCGCATAAACTGCTTCAGCCCGGATGTGAAGAGGCAGGGTATTTTGGGGGGGGGGGGGGCCGCAGGATAACTGGAAAAAAACTTCACGCTCAAGAAAATACCAAACCTGGGTTAAAATTCACAAACGCTTCTTCTGGCTGACTCTCCCCCGCTGGAGAGCACATCAGCTGTACTGGTTCTGGTTTCCTCTAGCCCCTCCCCACCTAAATGTTGCCATTTACGAGAAACTCATCGAAGTTGAATCAAAGTGACTTTTGGGAAGAGATGCCAATATGATCTACAGTGTGCTCCGGAAATGTGTAACTCTACACACAAGGCAACGGTACTCCTTAAGCACCAGCACCTCCCCCCGCCCCCCGCCAACTTCACTTTCAACTTCCCCTTAAGGTGCGGACAATCACAGAGACATTTCTTTGAAAATCGAGGAGAAAATTAAATAAAGCACCGCATCCAGGTCACCGAGGGGCTCCCGGCGCCCCGGGGGGTCCGCGGGCACGGCGCTCCCGGGTCGCTCCGCCAACTCCTCCCGGAGGTCTCCAAGTTTCTCTTTCCCCCTGTGCGAGCACCCGCCAGAGCCCGGGAGCGGAGGGGGCGGCCCCAAGGGCCGGAACCGAGCGACCTGGGACCCGGGGCCTTTGGGGCTCGCCGGCCGCGCCCGGCGCAAGTGCCCGCGTTCGAGACCCCGGGCGCGTGTGGGCGCCAACTTCGCGGGGACCCCCGCGCCGCGTCCCCTCGGCGCCCCTAGTCCTGCGCCTCCCGGGCCAGCCGGCTCCGGGCGTCCCCGCCACTCTCCCCACCCCGCGGCGGAGCGAGTCCACCCCCAGCTGCGGCAGCCGGGATGCGGCGGTGCGGGGGGCGAGGGGGAGGGGGAGGCGGTGGCGGTGGTCCCCTTCCCCGGGAAGGCGCGGGGACCGGGAGCCGCGCGGCCCGCAGCCCCCAGAAGCCCCGGCGGGCGCCCGGGCGAGCTCACCTGGCGGCTGGCGGCGGCCTCCGGGGCGGCCTCTGGGCGTGGGCCGGGCGGGGGCGGCAGGGGGGGCGGCGGGGGCCGGGGCTGCAGCTGGGGCCGCCGCCGCCCGCCGGCTTCGCCCCCACACGCGCCGGCCGCGGCCGCCCCCAGGCAGTGCGGGGAGCGCGGGGTGCGCGGGGAGCGCGGGTCCCGCGGCGGCGGCGGCGGCGGCGGCGGCGGCGCGGCGCGGCTCAGGCGTCGGAGCGGGCGGCCGCGGGCGCCGCCGCCTCCTCCTCCATGGCTGTTTACCCGGCTGCATTGTGGGAGTTTGACCTCCGCCGCCGCCAACCGCCGCCTCAGCTTGCGCCGCCGCCGCCGCCGCGCACGCCATGGGAGCCGTGACTGACGGTGAGGCCCGCTCGCCGCCACCCTGGCCCGCTGCACCGAGCCCTTCGGCCTCCCTGGCCTTCCCCGAGCCCCCCCCCGGCCTCCTCCGGGAGCCCCTCGGCCTCCGCGATCAGACCCTTCGGAGTGCCGGCCTTTTCCCGGCCGCCTCGGCCGAGTCCTTCGGGCCTCTCCCCGGACCCCCTGCTCCCCCTGGAACTCCCGGCCGGAGCTCGGCCCAGGCCCGGGGGGCGGTGTGCTGGGAGGATGGTCGCGGGGCCGCGAGCACACGTGGGGGGCCCGGGAACGGTGGCAAGGGTGCGTGGGCGGGTGGTACCAGGAAGGGGTCCAGGCCGTCGGCGGATGTGGTGAGGGAGCATTTGGTGAGAATATGGGGTCCGAGCAGTGGCGGAGGGGAGGCAGGGGTGGGGACCCTGCCGCCCCCGGGTCCCGGAGGGCCCGCGGAGGGGCTGGACGGTGTGAGAACTTGAGGTCTCGGGCCAAGGCCGGACAGCGAGAGCAGTTCCAGGGGTGTCAGCGTAATGAGGGTGACACCTGGAGGGGTCTTCTGGACAGGCTGCGGAGGCCCCCAGACAATGGGGTGGATGGCAGCGAGGCCTGAGGACTAGTTCTGGGTTGGAGGTAGGGACAGTTATCTGAAAAGATAGATGTGGACAAGGTATCTGGACAATCGAAGAGTGGGCTTGAGGGATTTAGGAGGAGCCAATGCAGGGATGGGGCCGCCTACGGTAGAGCAAGACAATAAATGATGGGTTTGGGTGTATTTACGTGTTGCGTTGGGTGGTCTGTAGGCGGGAATGGGGGGAGGGTCGGCAGGCAGATGCTGGGTTTGTGGAAGGTTGTGAGGACAGTTTGGGGAAAGTGGACCTTTGTGAGGAGAGACCCAGGGTCTGGGGACTGAGCAGAAATAAAATAGAGTGTCACCTTGGGGAAGGTGGACAGGCCTGATGGGCAGCCGGAGGGAGATCCTAAGAAGGAAGGGGTTTTGGGGCGCCAGTGAAGTTAAGCGTCAGTTAAGCATTCGACTTCCGCTCAGGTCGTGATCTCACGGTTCGTGGGTTCGAGCCCCGCGGGCTCTGTGCTGACAGCTCAGCTCAGAGCCTGGAGCCTGTTTCAGATTCTGTGTCTCCCTCTCTCTCTGACCCTCCCCTGCTCTCTCTCTCTCTCTCTCTCAGAAATAAAACATTAAAAAAAAAAGGAAGGAAGGAGTTCAGTTAAGGAAAAAGGAAGTTCTTTGCCATGTGGGAAGGGAATGTAATGTCTAGGATGCTGGGTGTATCTGCCGAGAGGGTGACCAGTAAGGGTACATGCCTGTGGAGAGGCTGCTTGTGAAAAGTTGGGGGGTAGACAGGATCCCCGCAGGAAAGGGCCAGCAATGGGAAGAAGAAGCATAAGCCAGCATTTGCAACAAGTAGTGAAGTGGGAGGCTCTTATTAAAGGTCCAGGAACTCCATGGCAACTGTTATCCTTGCTTCATTCCAGTTTTATTTACTGCTTCTGGGCTAGGCCTTGGAATTACAGTCCAGAACCAAAAGGCAAGGCCTTTTCCCTCTCTCAGGTTGCACTGGGGTGAAAAGACACCTTGGATAATTAGTTTTAAGGGTGGCACGTGTTACCACAGGGCAAGTACAAGGTTGGCAATTGTAGGAACATGCAGCAAAGATGGCTTATCCATTCTTGAACACCGGCCTCCCTGAGACAGTTACTTTTAATCCTATTTTTTAAATATTTATTTTTGAGAGAGTGCAAGCTGGGCGGGGGGGGGGGGGGGGGGGGTGGAGTGCAGACAGAGGATCCGAAGCTGGCTCTGCACTGACAGGCTGACAGCAGCAAGCCCGATGTGGGGCTCGAACTCACGAAGCCACCCCAGAGCCCCTTAATCACATTTTTGAAGAAGAAATCGTTGTAGTTGGACTGGTGTTCCAGGTGGGGAACCACTTATGCACAAGCCCCAAAGTGTTGGAAGAACTGAAAGATGACCAATGTTGACTAGAATTTACAGAATTATGGGGTGCCTGAGTGGCTCAGTCAGTTGTGCACCTGGCTTCCGCTCAGGTCATGATCTCACAGTTCATGGGTTTGAGCCCCACTCGCACTCTGTCTCTCAAAAATGAATACATGTTTAAAAAGTTTTTTTAAGTTATAGCCAGAGATTCCTAAGGACAATGGGAAACAATTTAACATTGGTGTGGTGCGATCAGATTTACATTTAAAAACAACAAACACAACAAAAAACCCACCTCCACACTCCAGTATGTGAAGAATTGATGAGGGGAAGTGAGGAGTTAAGTTCTCTCTAACATTTAAATAGTATTCATGATGTGTCAAGGAGTGTTCTAATCATTAACTCCACTTTACAGATGAAACTCAGACACAAGGAGGTTAAGTAACTTGCACAAGTTTGCACAGTTGGTAAGTTGCAGAGCCTGAGCTCAAAGCCAGGCAGTCTGGCTTGTCCCTCACTACTGTGTACCCAGTCTCTCAGCTACTGCCGCACTAGTCCTAGTAAGAGATAACAGGAGCTCAAAGAGGGATACAGAGAAGTAGAATAAGGTAGAATGTCAGGATTGATTGGGTGGATGTGAGGGGAAGAGCTGAGGATTAATCCAGGCTTCTGATTTGAGTGAGTGTGTGCTTATATGTGCTACTTCTGTATTTACGGAGGTAGGGTCATCATGGAAGATGGGAAAGGGAGTTCTGGTAACCATATTAACTTCAGTCAAGTGCCCCAACCCCCCACATAGCCTGAGAGGCCACAGGAATCCCCACTTCGCTGCTTAAAAGCTATCTGACCTTGTGTAGGTTAATTAACCTCTTTGAGCCTGTTTTATTCTCAATAAATGGGGATAATAAGAAAATCTACCCCATAGGGTTGTTTAGAAGTTTAAATGCCATACAACTTGTAAAGTGCTTTGCCCTGAGTCCTACATATAGTCATGTTCAGCAAATACTATTAAATGTAAGAATTGGTTTACTCGTCTCTTCTCCGTTTTCCTTTGATGAGGACTGTGCCTTCTCTATCTCTGTATTTGCACAGATTGCCCTTTCCAGCTTGGTGACTGTCATTTATTCTCCAAGACCCACCTCAAACGTTCACCTCTTTTCTTTTTAGAACCAGTTGATCATTCGCCTGTTAACCTATTGCTGTTGTAGCCTCAGTACTTAATTCACTTAAATGATACATTCTAGAAAATATTTAAGGCAGCTCACCATAATGTGAAAACATGAAATATAGATGAGAAAATGGCAAAAATGAGCATTGAAAGTTAGGGAAGACAGGAGAAATTAGAAGTGGGGTGATCCTCGGGGCGCCTGGGTGGCTGAGTCAGTTAAGCATCAGACTTCGGCTCAGGTCATGATTTCACGATTCGTGGGTTCAAGCCCTGCCTCAGCCCCTCTGTGCTGACAGCTAACTCAGAGCCTGGAGCCTGCTTCAGATTCTGTATCTCCCTCTCTCTCTGACCCTCCCCTGCTCACGCTGTCTCTCTCAGATATAAATAAAACATTTAAAAAAATTTTTTTTAAAGAGATGGGGTGATCCTCAAAATGTAAAAGGTAAACTCTGGTACATTAATTAAGACAGCTGGAAATGACTCTTGTTTCTCTACTAGTCCATAGCAAGAAGCAGAACCTGGTCCACTGCACTGTCTGATCTTGTGTACAGGAGAGAAGGCAATGTTAAGTACACAGCATAAGCAGTTCTTTGTGATTTAAACGCTAGAGAAAAAGTTGATCTTTAGGGTGCTCATAAAGATGAGCCAGTGTCATATCTGTAATCTCTTATCAGTACTGATGACCGTAGGGCTGTTGCTTAGCACATCCCTGACTAGGTCAGAGAGGGCTAACTCACCATTTAGAAAGGCACCCGAAAGCCAATAGGCCGTGTGGTTTAGGTGAATACTTCTGCTGGTCTGCCTTAATTCAGAGCTAGGTTTGTTTGCTAATTTCTGTTAAGAATACTTAGATCATAGAAGAAAGGATGAACTACAACCATTTCAGGCAAAACGGACACTGAACTATAGATACTATAGATATTGTCCAAGACAACTTATTATGAACACTGAACTTATCTATGGACTGAACTGTAGATATTATCACCAACACTACTCTGTAAACATGGTTTTCCTCAAATGAGCTTTTGGCAAAAATCAGGCAGAAGTGAGTAGTGCGTATGATAGGTCAACAAATGTGTATTGCATACCTTCTAGGCCCAATTCATGGTGCTGTCTATAGCAGTAAACTAGCAAGGAAGACCCAGCTTCTGCTTGACAGACAGAAGCAATAGAATAAAATCAAGTAAATAAGATCATTTCTGAGAAAGAACATAATGAAGTTCTGAAATAAGTTCTGAGAAGGAACTGGATGGAATATGAAAGAATAATGGGGGAGGGCTGGCACCAGTCAGGTATGACCTCTCTGAAAAGTAACCTTTAAGACCGAGAGGGGTCAACCCTGTGAAGAGACCAGGAAAGTATTCAAGACAGGCTGCAACTAGTGCAAAGGCCTGAGGTGAAAATAAGGTCTATGCCCTTTAGAGAAGATAAGGAATAAGGTTAAGAAGTAAGATAAGAGCTACTATCCAGGTGGGCCAGTAGGGATATGATAGAAAAGGAGGTCAGAGAAGTAAACAGGAGGTCAGCCAGAGCCTTGGAGATTGGATTGTCTCTGCGGGTACTTAGATCTGATTGGACGGTTTTAGGCAGAAACATTGAGTGATACCATACTTTTTTTTTTTTTTAATATTTATTTATTTATTTTGAGAGAGGTGAGACAGAATCCCAGTTAGGCTCTGCGCTGTCAGCACAGAACCTGATGCGGGGCTCAATCTCAGGAACCGTGAGATCATGACCTGACCCAAAATCAAGAGTCAATGCCCTACTGACTGAGCCACTGAGGGAGCCCTCCCACACTTCTTTTTGATCTTTCAGGGTTGCTGTGTGTGTAGAGAATGAATTCTAGGAAGTTAAGCATCAAAGCAGGGAGGCCAACATGAAATATCATAA